CAGTGACTTCAGCGGGACTTGTTTTGCTGAATCGATCAGGCCTTAGTAAATAGGTCACAATTTTTACATGCCTTGTCTGCATTGAGAATTTTTTTCCCCAGTACAGTCATAAAGTTAGCACTTTTTATCTTTGCATGGCTACAGTATATCTATATTGAACTCCATAGAGATATGGTGAATTTTTGATACAGTTCATTCTTCGTGGGAATAAGTCTACTGCGGGGGAAAAAGCATCACAAATAACTTGTAGGGGCAAAGAAAATTTCTTCCACTGAGCTTGACTGAGGAACACGCAGTTCTTAACTGTCTAAAATCAGGATTCATGTACGAAGAAAATTAATAACAAATATTTACAAAATGCATAACAAGCCTGTAGAACGTACTGCCACAAAATGGAGGCAAGGAACATGGTAGGATTCAAAAAAGGATGAAACACTTAGAACCTGGTCCGGCAAACACAAATGTGCTTTATATTGCTCATGTGAATAGTCTGCTGCGTCATAGACTTTAATGCTAGAAGGGATTGTTACATCACAGGCTACTTACATTTCACCAAGTTATTCCTTTACTGAGCCCAAAAACTTGTTTTTGACTAAAGCATATCTTCTAGAAGGACAGCCAGTCCTGATTTGTAGACTTGCAGAGACTGAGAATCTGCCATTTCCATTTGTGCCCATGGTTAGTCACCCTCACTATTAAACACTTTTGCCTTATTTCCATTTTGAATTTGTCTGGCTTCACTTTCCAGTTCCTGGTTTTTGTTCTGCTTTTCTCTGCTAGATAAAAGAGCCCTTTAGTACCTCGTATCTTCTCCTTGTGAAGGTCCTTAGACGCTGTAATCAAGTCGCCTCACAGTCTCTCTTGACAAGCTAAACAGACTGAGCTCTTTAAATCTCTCACTGTACGGCATTTTCTCAGGCCCATGAATACGTTTTTGTGGCTCTTCTCTGCACCATCTCCAGTTTTTCAACATCATTTTGAAAATGTGGACACCACAACTGGGTATAGTATTCCAGTGTGGGTCTCAGCAGTGCTGTATACATTGCTATCACCTCCCTATTCCTGCTCCCCTGTTAATACATCAAGGATCACATTAGCCCTTTTTGCCCTAGGATCCCACTGGGAGCTCATGTTCAGTTGATTGTCTGCTGTCACCTCGGTCCTTTTCAGACTTGCTGCTTCCCAGGATATAGTTTCCCCGTTCTCTAGGAACGGCCTGCATTTCTTGTGCCTAGGTATATAATTTTCCATTATACGATACAAGAATGCATTTTGTTTGAACAGACCCAGGGGATCCAGATTGCTTTGTAGGACTGCCCTGTCCTCATTTATCACTCCCCCAATCTTTGTGTCATCTGCGAATTTTATCAGGAGTGATTTTGTTTACTTCCAGATAACGGATTAAAATGTTGAATAGCATCAGGTCTAGTACCAATCCCTGCAGAATCCTACTAGAAACGTGTTTGTTTGATAATGATTCCCACTGATGACTGCCCTTTGAGATGTCCATTAGCCAGTTCTTGTATGCAGTGGTGGTGTAGCAATGTCAGTCCCAGGATATTACAGAAGCAAAGTGGGTGAGATAATATCATTTATTGGACCAACTTCTGTTGCTGAGAGAGACAAGCTTACGCACCACTCTTGGTCTGGGAAATGTATTCCAAACCTGAAGAAGAGCTCTGTGTAAGGTTGAAAGTGTCTCACCAACAGAAGTTGGTTCAATAAAAGATATTACCTCACCCTCTCAGCCAATTCTTAGTCCATTTTACTTGTGCTCTATTGATACTGAAGTGTTAATTTGTGGTACTTAAGTCCAACAGCTTACAAAAGTCTAGGTATATTACATCAGTTACATTTATCAAACAAATTTGTAACTTCCAAGAAAAGGTCAGGCTTATCAAACCTGATTTTTTTCCATAAAACCATATTGATTGGTATGAATTATATTTCTGTTCTTAATTTCTTATGAATTGGGAAAATTTTCCCTACACTGCTCAAGAGGTCAGAATAGATTTGCCCTTGGAATTGATGAATCCCACAATACCTTTAAATTATTATGCCTGTGAGTGAGGTCATGTTAACTAGTGTATAGTTACCTAGGTCATTCTGCTTTCCCTTTTTTGAATACTGGCACAAGATCAGTGCTCTTCCATTCTACTTGAATGTCCTGGTACTCTAAGATTTAGTAGAAGTTAATCAGTGGGCTAGAGAGCTCCTTGGCCAACTTTTTAGGACGCTTGGGTGCAAGTTATCCCAAGGGTTTGGTTTAACAATGTTTATCCCTAGCAGCAGATGTAGTTTAACTTTCTCTTTAATTACTAATAGACCTGAAAGTACTTCATCAGACTCTTCTGATGAGACTATGTTGTCATGCTTCTTTCCAAATACAAAAGGGGGAAATTTACTGAACACTTCTGCCTTTCCTGCATTATAATTGTTCTACCATCTCCATTTAGTAACAGGTTTGTACCATTACTAGCAGTGGTATACTCAATGTATCATCCAGACTACTGAGAATCTGTCACCCGTGCCCTCTAACCAGGGTGCCCGTTAAAATGCTTTGCTGCTGTAGCCTCCAGTCTGGACTGTTCACAGGTAGCTGGGAGTGACCTGCACATTGGAGGCTATGTCTCAGCCAGCCATACCTTGGCTCTCACCAGCCTGGGTTATACTGCAGGGTGACCCCAACATACTCCTAGTATTTGTTTTGTTTTTTTCCCCGCCAGAGAAGTATGTCTTGTATTGTCCGAGAGAGGGCTGGGCAATACAAATTCATTTAAAGTCTGTATTTCTTCAATAGAAATAATATGCACACACTTTGTTACCCAAATAGAGTTTCACAGACACTTCAATTTAAACACACTGGATTAGATCAAACCAGTTTATTAACTACAAAGAGATTTTAAAGTGAAAGCAAGGAATGAGGCATAAATCCAAAATGGTTACAAGATAAGTCAAGATAAAACACAACTGGTGCCCAAGTTAACGAACTATGTTAAGTTTTATTTTGCATTTACCACATGCTCTAGGCAGTCTTACTGAACAAACTTCTTAGGTGAGGACCCCTTCTTCAGCTTAGTGGCAGCTTCCTTTGTCTCTTCTAGTGCAGTGATTTGGTGGCCAGAGTGAGAGGGAGGAGGGGTGTCTGGGAGTTTGTCCCTCCTTTTTTATAGTGTCAGTCCTGTCCCTTGGAAAACATTCCCAGCTCACAAAAAGTCTATAGGGAAAGATCTTTCCTGCTGCTTTTCCTCACTTTTTTTGGAGTTTGTTTTTTCTTCCTGCCTGATGACTGCTTACTACTTAAATGCAAATTAAGCAGAGCACACATTCATTTGAGACAGAGCTGTTTGCCAACTTGTGTTGTGGTTTGCAACATGAGTTAACATTATACAGGGAAATCTTATAACTTGACATACACTGTTGCCATGCATTTTATCGGGACAACATTGACCAGTAAACTATAAATTTTCAGATACCTCACAAGGCATACTTCACATCTGGAGATGATGCAACATAGCTGGTGCTTCAGAGGAGTCTGTTCTTACTTTGGCATTTAATCCAAATGACAGTTGAGTTGCAGGGAGGAATGAAATTATACTGTGGTTCACCATGGTGTAATCCTGTTGTTCACAAAAACCTTGTCTACGCTTGCAAGTTAGAGCGCATTAAATCAGCCTCGGGCGCCCTCACTCCTGAGGTGTCCACATTGGCAAGGCACTTAGAGCACCTGGACTCCGCAGTTGGAGCACCTCTGGTAATCCATCTCCACGAGAAGCATAGAGCTTGCTGTGCCCTGGCTGAAACGCCAGGGTGTCAGTATGGAGGACATGTTGCATTACTGCGCTGTGATTGGCCTCCGGAAGCATCCCATAATCCCTTGAAGTCAAGTGGCCACTCTGTTCGTTGTTTTGAATTCAGCTGCAGGCATGTGGATATCCCCTTTCAAAGCTCCATTTCTGACAGCTGGCATGCTTATTTGCTCCAGGACACAAAGCAAACCATTACTGAGGAATGCTCCTGCTGTGGAGGCGTGTGTGTGTGTGTGTTGGAGGGAGGGAGGGAGGGAGGGAGGGGGTGGGTGGGTGGGGGCTGATGTCCGGGTTTTCCTCCTTCCCCTTGCCGCTGTCTGAACTTACAAGACAGCATGCTGACACACTCTCTGTCCCCCAAAACAGTCTCTCCCTCCACATACACAAAACACACTCCCTGTCACACTCCCCCCTCCCGCACATTTGAAAAGCATGCTGCATCCACTTTCACACTGGGATAGCTACCACAATGCACTGCTCTCTCTGGCGTTGCAAGAGCTGCTAATGTGGTCACTCTACTGCGCTTGCACCCGACAGTGTGAACACATGGCAGCGCTTTCCCTGCTGCTGTCTCTAAGGGCTGGGTTAATTCCTGGCGCTCTACATCTGCAAGTGTAGCCAAGCCCTAAGTAAAAGGCATGATAATGACTTCAAAAAGTTTTTACCCTTCCTAAATCTGACTATCTACTTAAAATCTGAGGCTCTTTGGGAGTAAATCACAATTAAATTGCCTCTACCTTAATTTGATCTCTTGGATGCTTTCTGGGCTTGGTCTGTCAATCATGCTGCTGATGGTCCAGTCTGGAATCAGCTGCTGCTACCAGAAATGTCCTAACTTAGTTTTTTGCTGGTGGAACAACACTACCTCTAGAGATGGCGGGGAAGAGGTTCTGGCTCCCTGAGGCTAACGTTGGGAAGGGGCACGCTCTGGTAAGGTCATCTTCCAGAGCTGGTGTTTTATGGAGCATCCTCCTTGAGCAATGGATGTACTGGGTTGGGTCAAGCCTAAAAGCAGAAAAACCTTCAGAATCTGAAAGGGGTCTTGCTTCAAATGTTAAAATGCAATGTTAAGTACCCTTCCAAATGGCTACATAGCTTTTGGAAGGGATCCGAGACAACTTTTAGTGAAGCCTCCCTTCAGTTCACCTTCAATGTAAACTTTAATTTTCATGTTGACATTCTTTGCTTCAGCAATACCTTGTCGTCCACCTCCTGATATCACCCATGGATCCCATACTGGTCAGAGTGAACAACAGTTTCTCTATGGCTCAGCAGTAACTTACAAATGTGACCAGGGCTTCTCTCTTATTGGAGAGGCCTCCATTCATTGTACAACGAAAGATAATGTCAATGGAGAGTGGAGTGGGCCTGCCCCTGAATGCAAAGGTTAGTAGCATCTGTTTTTATCCCCTTCTTATTCTACTATCTCCTCCCAGGAAAAGCTATATTTTGATTGCTAAGTAAACCCATAAACCTGAGGAAATTCAGTTAATGCTTAGTCCCCCTAAATACGTATCATGAAAACTAGTTACTGTTGGAAAACTAAAGAATAACGGACACTTCATAAATCATTCCTGGAAACAGTTTTGCCTGTAATCCATCCTGTATTTTTTGTCTCTCTTCAGTGTTCCCAGATTGCAGTTAATTCTCATGTCACAAACAGTTGATTTTAGGTGGAGATAAACTCTTAAACCAAGGTTTTGCTTTTATGCCAGTGCCCTACTACTCGGTGCTAAAGAGGAAGGAGAGAGAGAGCCTTACAAGCAGTATTGTTTAGAAACCATATTTTTCAGAACTCTCTGGGAGGGCTCCTTGGCAGTGAAGGCTCAGGCCTCTGTGAGTTCATACCACAGCCATAAAGTTCTTAGGAGGGGAAAATAAAGGTCATTGTACAATCCTCATTTGGGCAACGGCAGTGCTCACACACACTATTGCATTTAGCTAACAATGCATTTATGTACTTGGTACTCAAGCAGCTGCAACCACTTGGTTTTATTCTTGCTGAGTTACTCAGCCTAACGGCTGGGATGGAGGCTTTTTCAGAAGCATTAGGCAGGTTGGTCACCTCGCTACTTAATATTAACTCCCCCAAAAACAGGGAAGTTCAGTTCCAGAATGTCATTGTATGTAGATCACTTATAGCTTGACCCAAATTACTGATGCAGTTCACTGGAAGGGGTGGGGGGGAGGGAAGAGATGGCCCTGATAGTCTACATATAGCACAGTACCCAACTGTATGACTAACATCTTTTTAAAGGGAAAGATTGAAAGTTGTGTAACTTTATTTCAAAATACATTTTCATATCTGCTGTAGTCAAGTATCGAGGCTTTTTCTTCGTTCCTCTAACTGCTTCCTATTCAAAACGTTCTTATGCTGGTACTTTTAATTTTTCAGTGGTCAGGTGTCCAGAGCCTGAAGTCAAAAATGGGGGAAAAAGCAATCTGGGTTTGTACCTGACTATTCATATGGAAACACCGTAATATTTGAATGCGATTCTGGCTACACTCTGAATGGTAGCAGTTCAGTTAAATGTGAAGCTAACAATTCATGGGTTCCATCTTTGCCCACCTGTCTACATAAGTATAAGCAGTTGTGTTGAGTCTTTTATTTGCTAATGTTTAGGAAGCTTATTGCTTTTGAGTAGCCATGTTAGAATGATGTCAAGTTTGAGTGTCTGTGTCCCTTTTTTTCCATAGGCATAACACCTACTACACCTACAACTTCCCCTCCAGGAGGAACAAAAGATACTTCTGGTGTGTTGGAAGAACTTTTGGCTATTTAAATCTTCCAGACATTTAGCATGTAGTTTCTACAAGACTGAAAACGGAAGTGTGAATTTCACACAGTACATTTCATCTCTAAGTTCTGGAATTTTGTCATTCACAATCGCTACTATAAGCAGTGTTCTCCCTCAGGTTTTAGAGCACAACCTATTTATTCTTATACCCTTCCTTGCATCCTCTTCTCAAATGCACTTGAAACAGCTTATTAGCTGTCCTGAGCTGTGAGCATGTGTAACTTTCCTCATGAGGGCCCATAGGGTGAAGCATTCAGGAGAGGTTTAGCAGCTCCCACCTGAGGTTAGTAATGCATTCGAACAACAAGGAAATGGTACCCATTGGAGCCGTGCATGTGCCCTGAGCTGCCTCATTCCCCTACCAAGCTGCCCTAGCTCCCATCAGCTATTTCTCACTGCCTATGGTGAGTAGTCAGTCTCCAGTGAGCTCTGCACATGGGATTTTTCCTCTAAATGAATTTGTAGCACTCACTGACCTGTTAGGATTATTTTCTTAAACCTTTTCTTGGTTGCTCATCCAGGCAGTTGCTCAGAAGTGGAATGTTAGCATGCAGAAGTCACCCAGTTTTATGCACTGTTGCATTGGCAGGGTAGCAATACCTGTTAGTTATTCACCTTCCCAGCACTTGAAGTGACTGGGAGGGGGTCATATCAGAGAAAAGTGCCAGATATGTAGGGCCTTCAAAAAGAGGACCCAAAGATGTAGAGGTGAGGTTGCTGGACTTCCTTATGATGAGTCCTTTGCAATCTGCCCTGGCTCAAAGTTCCCTGGTACTGTTATGAGACCTACAGCCCAGAGAGTTGGTGACTCCAGTACCAACCACTGTGCTGTTGAGATCAACACATCTACTATTTTGGACTGGGAATCACCTCCACATTGGCACGGCTGCTCCCAGCGGTTCAATCAGCATTGTTGGTACCAAAGACATTAGACGCATATGCTGCAGCTTAAGATCTGTGCTAGTTGGTGCCAGATTCTCTGTTCCTCCAGACTCCTGTGCAGGTTGCTGCACCGGTCCTATCCTCAATACTTGCCTGGGCACTGGCCTTGATACCATCTCTGGTACAATTGGCCCTGGCAATATTTGCCTAGGTCTGATCAATGGAGAGACCACCATTACTCTGCTAGCTTCCAATTCCTCCGTAGGTACTGGGGCGCAGGCACTGGTCTCGCTCTGTCTCCAGTGACTGCTCCTGTTACCGCACCACCATGGCCAACTGATTATTCCTTCTCACCTCTCAATCCCAGGTTTTCATGGCTTGCCTTCAATGTATAGGAGTCTTGAGTCTCTCCCACTCCTTTGAGGACGTAGTCTTGATCTTTTCACAGGCATGGCTATGGAAGCAGGTGAAGAGAGAGCCTGTCTTAGATCTGTGAAAGCTGAACAACTTCATAAAGAAAATGAAGTTTCACACTGTTTCCTGGCTTCCAGCATGCTTCCCCTAGATCCTGACTAGTACGTTGCTTTTAACTTACAGGATATCTGTTCCATTTGTCTAGCCACACTGGTCAAAGCAGATTCCTCACATTTATAGTTGGAGGCAAACACTACCAGTTTTTCACAGTCCTCCCTTTTGGCCTGTCTTCAGCCCCCAGGATCTTTACAAAATGCATAGCAGTTGCATGCATGCATTGGCCTGCCTCAGGAGAATCGATGTCCAGATATTGCTGTATTTAGACAATTGGTTGATTTTGAGGCTATTTCAGACAACCTAAGACAGATCCAGTTGCTCTTTGACATCTTGGGCCTCTTGATGACCAAGAGTGAATCTATCCTTTCTCCGGTGCAAAGAATAGTGTTCTTGGGGGAGATTCTCAATTGGCAACAGCCTATCTACCCCGGCCAGACTTTTACTTACTTACACACACACACACACACACACACACACACACACACACACACACACACACACACACACACACACACACACACACACACCCACACACACACACACACACACACACACACACACACACACACACACAC